CCCTCAACACAAGATGACCCATCTCAAGTTGGTCTCAAGCCTTCTTTTGATTCCCTGATCAAGCTGTCAATGCGGACCGCCAAGCTCCATGGTGCGCAGGCCGGGAGGATCCAAACCCCCGGCGTCCCTTGGGCCTTCCAAAGTGTTGAACATGTCGAAATTAACCCATCCTTGATGTCTCCGTCCAATATGTCCCTCTGCAGCCTGTTACTGTTCCCTTAACACTACGCAAATTGAAACGACAAGACTTCAAGTTCTTCGCGTAACCCATCAATCTTCTCAAGATTTGGCTCTTGCCTGCAAGACTTTTCTCGTGTGCCAGACTCAAGTTGCTAGGTCTCATGTCCTCGGTCTGTACTCCGTGTTTGAGCACCTTCACGGGCCGCATATGTACGTGCAAGTTATCTGCGGCTGATGTGTTCTACAAATCACTCCTGCCTTTGTATAATAATATATACATCTTTGTAGCATCGTCTCCGGAATATAATCCATTTTCTGCCTTGCCTTTCGATGCCCCCTCTGAACAACCATAAGCACCAGGAGATCTATCATCTCTATCAGGTCTATGGTGTCTACGCGACTATGATAGACTTGGTGGTGGCTATCATGGTCTATGTAAAAAAAACCACCCCTCCACCCATCTATCATAGACATCGGTTTGCTTTCGGGTCTATGGCTCCTTTCTTAGTCTTTCTTGGTCTATCAGGTAATTTCAGATTTTCCTGATGCATGTCTCTATGAGTCTGTTGTCTGTGTCTACCCGAGGTAGCGACATGCACTCCAGATGTAAAATGGGCTCTGAAACTCCCTCTCAACTTGCCCCGAAGGCTATGGCCGAGTTGGCCGAAAGTCAACACGTGTAGCCTACTCTGTACATGATGTAGGCAGATGGTGTGTTCAATTAAGTAGCGTAGAAGTACCCCGTCCACCGGGGGCAGACATATGTAGTCTAATGAAGCCATATGTAGCCAACCGCAGGTGGATGTCTAACCATTTACGAGGGACCTCAATCTCTTCAAAACCGAGTGCACTGAGGGGCTGTACGGGCATCCAAATTTTCACTCTTTGAATGCAGCCTCTTCCACGATGCTACTCTCGTTCTCCCTTACGTTCATCTTCCTCGCTGTGTCGGCTTTCCCATGTTCACCCTGCAGCAATGGATTGGTGGACATCCGAGTGGCTGCCGCCTCTGCTGCGTATGCGGTCCACGACAACTCTGCTTTCGGCAGCGCGACAGATCTCCACAATGTCACCGGCTACGTCGACACGTATGATAGCGATAAGTCCCATATCGGCAGATACCCTGCGAGCGAATTCTTTGCTGCATCACCGTCCCCGACGTTGGGAGTAAACTGCGGGCCACTAACCATCGGCCAACTTTCAGTCTGTGCGTAGCAACTCTCTTTTTGTGCCCTTGAATGGTAATCGATAATCAAGTGGATCAGTGCCTGGAAATACTCGCATGCAAGCAGCTATCAAACGCGATGTTGAAGGGAACTATTGGAATCAGAAGACCACGAATCCGGCACGTCGTTTCTGCCCGCACGACAGCTCTGTTACTTGACCTGAACGGTGATTTCAGGACGGCAAGCAAATTGGCTGGTCATGCGCAGGTTCAGGCCCTTTCAAAGTCTCGGCTGGTAGGTCGATTTGTTACCTCAGTATTCCTCATCTAAAGCGCATAGGGGTGCCTGGCCGGTGCGACGAGTCCGTGGCTGGGACCACCGGGACTGTTCGCGGTACCACGGGAATAGTGACACTTGAATATAAGTCAGGAAGGTCAAGCGGTTTGACATTGACTACCCGTGAGTTTCCTGGTACACTCAGTGAACAAAATAAATGTCCGATTGGTTTTGAGGTCATATCTCCACATTGGGCCAACATTTTTGGGTCAACCAAAGTATAGGATGATGAAGGAGGATCCTCTAAACAGTTCTGCATTATTGATTAGATCAATATATATTGATGCGGAATCACTAAGAACGAAATACGGAAAAGACTGGAAATGCGATTTTTCAAACTCGAGTTCAGCATTTTTTGGGCACAAGACGAATTGACCAGATTGTAGCCCGAGGTGTTCTCCACCACCCTCCCTTTTTAAATGACCAAAAATATACAGGGGATAGCGAGCTACAGGGCCCGCAAAACAGTACCTTTTCTGCATTTTGGCCGTTTTCGGCCGTTTTTGATGGTTTTGGGGCCAAAATGGCCGTTTTGCGGGCCCTGACACATTAGACCCAAATGACTACCTACTGAAATCCGTTTTTGCAGCTTTGAACGAGAGAGTTGCACGTGTTCAGCTCAAGAAAGTCTCAAAAAATCTCACCCAATTTTCAACAAATGACCAGATCCGAACAGTCAAAGTTGACTCAGAAATTGATCTACAAGGTTTTTTCGCCAAAGTTATACGGAAGGGCACCAGATTCCTTATCAAAAATCTACATTTGTGAATCTGGATCGCATTCGATGTGCAGTGGAAGAGATTGCTGATTATGCACCTTCCGATGAAATGATCTGGAGATCCATCCGGTTGCCCACTCTGCAGCACCTCACACGAGAATTCTTCTGAAAATGCATCCACAACACATTCAGGGTTGGGGACTTCTCGTCCCACATTAACAACCTAGAAATTAACGCATGTCTGCCATGTCCCCGACACATCGGAACACATGGCATTAGAGTGCATTGCCCCTGGACAGCACATCATATGGAACCTTGCCAAAGGACTGTGGTTAAAAAAATATGATTCCTGGCCGTCACTGAACTGGGGTTTAATTCTAGGCTGCAATCTAATGAGATTTAGATCAGACAAAGGTGTCATCAAGGCAGCAAAAGGAAGACCGTTTGCAATTTTAGTCTCTGTCTCATGGCATTTAATATGGAACCTCCGCTGTCTCAAAGTGATAAAAAACCCGGATGTGTGCTTGACTGTGGCTGATATCCACAACCATTGGCTGAGGAGTATCAATACAGTCCTACGTCGTGACTGCATTCTGACAGATAAAATAAATTCAGGCCGCTCGCTTTGAAAGCAAAACTAGTATTGAAGACCTGGAGTGGCCTTCTCATGGATGAAGATTCACTGCCAGCCGATTGGACCCACACAGAGGAGGTTTTAGTGGGTATAGGGCCTATAACTGGAATAGGTTAATGTTTTGGCCGGAGTCCCACACTGGTGTATAAAACATGTGTAATGGCATTCCTTCCTGAGCAACTTCCCCGGCAATGTCTGAATCACCACCCAGTAACACAAGCGGATGAGCTTGGAATGCTTCTGCAGACTGAGTTTCATTATCCCAAATGCTCCAAAAAAATGAATAAAAATAAAAAAGCCCGCAGGGGCCCGTACAGCACGTCCGAGTATCTGCTCTGTTCATCCCTCTCAAGGTAGTGAGAGTTTGCACAAGCACTTGGCCCAGGCAAAAATGTGCGATGGCAACGAACTATTCAGGTGCGGGGAGTCGAACCCCGGGCTGCGGGTTGCCATTTGTCTGTCTCACATGGAATGAAGGCGCGCAGTGTTGCGTACACCACGCCCGAGTATTTAGCCTGTTCATACTTCGGTCAAGTGGGTGAGGATTTTGGGAAGGAGTCGGCTGAGAAAACGAAAAAGAGCGAAGAAAACAGCGGAGTCGGGCACGAGGAGTCGAACCCCGGTCTGCGAGCTGCTGCTGTTTGTTATGGAAAGAATGTTGTGATTTGGCAAGCCGCAGCAAAGCCGAGCAAGACCGAGCTTCCAAATGGGTGCTCGGCCTTTCCCACGGTTGCAGTGCACCGAACGGATAGCTACCTATAGTCAGTAATATATAATTAGTAATGAGACATCTCGGTGTCTCGGTACTCAGTATATTTGTTTATGGGGATTTGCTTATGGGGATTCATTAGAATAGTATATAAGTACTACGAGCTCTTCCGAATAAATCAGTTCAGTTCTCTCCCACTGCTCTCACCACTTCCCATTTCCCCCATTACCCCTTCTGTGGCATCACCATATTCCAACAAAGAAGGCACGCGGTGTGCCGTACACCACACCCGGATATTTCCCCTCTTTCATCCTCTGTAAAGGGAGCAGATTTACGCAAGGACTTAGTTGAGAAAGAAAAAACCAGGAGAACACAAATTATTCGGACACGGGGAGTCAAACCCCGGTCTCACTGCGGCGATCACCGAAACTTAGTCAGGAAAAAACGGGCTAGAATCATGTTGTTCGTTTAGTGGGCCCAAATTTTAGTGGGCAAAAAACTCCAATAAAAGATAGGATCTTTGTCTCTTTGTTTCTCCCACAAAAATCCAGAATTTTAGTGGAAGAAAAAGTTGGGGACAAAGGGAAAAGTCATGTGTTCCTGTTTTGTCCAACTAAAATATAGAGTCTTTGTAGGGGAAAGAAAGAAAGAAAGAGCCTATCTTTTAGTGTAGTTTTTTTCCCACTAAAACTTGGGCCCACTAAATGAACAACATGATTCTAGCCCGTTTTCCTGACTAAGTTTCGGTGATCGCCGCAGTGTCTGCGGCTCCGCTGTTCGTTATATGGAAAGAAGCCAGCGGTGTTCCGTACACCACACCCAATTATATGAGGCGTGAGGTACTCTACCAAGCGCGCAGACGCAGACCTGTGGTTGAGACAGAAAAACCTTTATGAACAACATCAAATTCAGATGCGGGGAGTCGAACCCCTGTTTACGGGCTGCCAACTTTGATAATCTCGAAGGAAGACCTGCGGTGTCCCGCACACCACACTTGATTATGTACCGTGTTCATCCCTCTCTCAAGTTGGTGACATCTTGCGCACGAACTTAGCCCATAAAAAAAAAGGAGGGGAGTGGCTATTCGGGTGCGGGGAGTCGAACCCCGGTCTGCGGGCTGCCAATTTTGTTCAAGCTATGAAGGTGCGCGGTGTCCCGTACACCAGATCCGAGTACCTACCCTCCTTGTCCCTCTGTCAAGTGAATGAGATTCTTAGCAGGACTTGCGTAAGAAAAAAAGGTTAAAGAAACCAACTATTCGGGCGCGGGGAGTCGAACCCCGGTCTGCGGGCTCCCGATGAATCCATTCAATAATGAGGCCCGCGGTGTCCCATAAACCACGCCCGATGAATTGGCTTGTTCCTTCCTCTACTAAGTGGATGAGATTTGCGCAAGGACTTGAAAAATAAACATTGCATCCATAATTGACTATTCGGGTGCGGTTTAATAGACTCCTAGGATGTATGCTATCATTATGAACCCCAGTGGACCCCGACAGTCTACTGATGGCTTCAGAGATACATCACAAACGCTAAGGTGGTCAACTACCCAGTGATTGATAGTACCCTGTTTTATCTTCTGTCAAGTGGGTGAGCTTTTGTGCAAAGTCTTTGTGATGGAGTCGAGAAGTCGAGGTTCCGGCACACGAGGTTCAGAAGCGAGGTAGTCGAACTCGCAGGGTAAGTGGGATAAAAGTAGATTGACTAGCATAACTAGTGACTATGGACATGTTATATACTGTGACTAAATAGGGGCTCCGAGTGAAACAAGGAGCTAGATTAAATGACGCGACGGTTACCAAGCCGGCGCGTATGCGCGCGCGCCAGAGGCGGCGCGGAGTCAAGGGATCGTGTAAATAGAGAAATGGGGGGGAGTGGGTGAGGGTATAAAAGGGTACCGTTACATCCGCCCTTCAGGCCGACGAAGACGGACTAATCGCTCACGTCCATGCCCTCTCCCTCCTTCCCTTTTCCTTTCGAAGAAGATGCGGCGGCATCAGCGGCGGCGGCGGCAGCGGTGGTGGCGGCGGCGTCAGCGGCGGCGGCGGCGGCAGTAACCTCCTTGGCCTTCTTCTCCGCCGCGGCGCGCGCATCCGACTCAGCGGCGGCGGCGGCAAGAGCGGCGCGACGGCGAGCGAAGCCC